GTAAATTATATGGCTTCTCCGAGTGTTGGTTTCCTTAACTATAAATTGAGGATAATAATACCTTGAATAACAACATCATAGGGCTTTTGTGAAGAAGGCGCTTTATGAAGTACAGAACATATACAAATAAAACTTGCTAATAACAGAGAAAGGAGAGCAACTCAAATACTATTTTTGTTTCTGTTATCTCTGCTATAGACAATTTTATTAAAATTTGTGGAAAAAGTATAATGACAGTTGTTGAGGAAATTGATGATTTTGCTAGGTGAGGAGTTTTGGGAGGGGTATCTCTAGTGGATTACCACAGGACTGTATTCTCCAATTTCAAATTCAGATAAGAACTGACCAGAGTTAAGTGCCTCCCCAGCTTATCATTTCCTGCTCTCTATGTGTAGCTTTGACCTGGATAAAGTCATAGATGGCATAATCAGCAAATCATCCTATTACATAATACTAATGAGATCATTGATTAGGTCACTAAATTGAAATCTTCAAAGATTTCAACAACCTGAAACAATTAGCCCAAATATTAACAAGAGGAGATTTAATAGGGACCAATGTGAACTGACTTGAGGTCTTACAAAAATCAATTCCATAAGTATAGGCCTGATTTAATCCCCCCAAATTTTGGAGAGTCTGCACCTATCATTTTATTGATGTAATGAACCGCCAGTAAGGGAACTCTCTTTACAGATGCAGATCCTCAATTGTTATGCAATTTATATTCTTAAGAGAGTTGCTTAATAACACTGAGAAATTAAGAAACTCTCCCAGGGTCACAGCCCATATTTGTTAGAGACAGACTTGAACTTGAGTCTTCCTCTCTTTGAAGCCAGCCCTTTATCCAATCTGCTATGCTGGCTTTTATCTGAAAAAAAAAAAAGTCTAGTAGTTTTAGTTGATTTTGAGTTCAATGAGTCAAAAACATAATACGTCTGAGCCTCACACCCTCCAAAAGGTTAATAAAACACGAGATCAGCATCCTAACCGAGATGGAATTGTTGTCCTCCCTTTCAGTGGGATATTTGCTCCATAGCAGGAGTTCTTAACCTGGGGTTTATGATTTTTTTTAAAAAATTGAATAGTTTGATAATAGGATTCTAATATAATTGGTTTCTTTTGTGACCTTACTCATTTTATTGTATATACTTAAAGGACTGAGAAGGGCTCCTCAAATTCACCAGAGCTGCCCCAGGGGTCCATAACACAACACAAGTGAAAAGCCTCAGCCCCACCATGTATTATCTCAAGAGCTTCAATCCTGTGTCCAGTTCTGGGATCAATACTCTGGCAGGAACGGTGGTGGCCAAGGAAGTCGGCCACGATGGTAAGGGGACTCCAAATCCCATCCCATGAAGGAGGAGTTAGAGATGATTAACCTGTGTTTGCCTTCTTGTCTCTACCAGATTATTGTCAAAGTTCACCTCAGAAGCTACCTCCTCTATGAGACTTCCTTATTCCCCCAAATTGCTGGCATCCCACCCTACCCCACTCCAATCACTTTGCGTTGACTTTGCATGCATTTTTATACTTACTCAGCATCATAGATTTAGAGCTAGGAGTGACCTGAGAGGTCACCCAGTCCAATTTCCCCATGGTATCAATAAGGAAAAAGAGGCTCATGTGTTAACATGACTTGTCCAGCATCACATAGCACACAAGCGATAAGGCTGGCCTTCTAATCTCAATCCAGCAATCTTTTCTCAGGACAACTTTTGTTTTTCCCTAACGGAATATAGACTCCTCGAGGGCAGGAAGGACTTGGCTTTTGTCCTTTCTCTCAGATGTTTGGCATCATGCCTGGCACATGTTTAGCCCTTGGTAAATGCTGGTAAAATGAACAAATCACAAAAGAAAAAAATAGGAGAAACATGATTGTCATAGTCAATGTTAATGGGTTTTCATTCAGAAGAGTGACTCGATTTTCCTCCTCCCTTTTCTTGAAGCTCCAGTTAACATAAGTAGGACCAAAGGACAGAGGAAATTTACTCAAGAGCCGATCGTGGTTTAATATAAGGAAGAGCCAAAGACTGCCTTGATACACAGTCTGGTCCAAGAAGTCTCCAAGTACAGGTCAGGTGATGACTTTGTGAGACGTTGTAAAAGAAGGTGCCTGCATGAGGAAGGAGGTTGGAGTGTGTGTGTGTGTGTGTGTGTGTGTGTGATTTCTACCTCAGTTCAGCACTAGAACAGTATCACACCCTCCCTACAAGAAGACTGGGTGGGCTTTTCCTCATTACCTCTAACCTTTTGCTACAACATAAAAAAAATATTGCGGTAGACTTATCTTCCTGAGGAAAAGAGTAATTTATGAATTCATCTCTTAAAAAGTGAACAACATTCCTACTGTCAGATTTTAAGACGTCTGCGTGTTTAATCAACCCCTGCTTTTTAGGGTCTCACTGTTCGGGGCAGCATAAGCAACCATGAATGTAATTAATGGCAGCCTGTGAGCCAGGGTGGAAGAGAGAGCATTGCTGACTCTCAGAAATGAGCCTGTGTGCTTGGCAGCCCGGCCATGCTGTATTCCATTGCTATGAGGTATGGAAACTGTACTATGAACTACCCATTACTCATCCCCTGGGCTCCAGACACACAGTCCTATCAGAAAGGAGCCATTCTAAGGAATGGGAGGGAGGAAAGGGAGACCAGGGGATGCATTTAAGGTTTGCCCATTACTTTCAATAGCTTCTTTCATTGACTTCCCCCTGACTTTTAAAATTAGCGAGGACATCAGGCCTTGGAGGAAATCACAAACAGCAAATCCCTGTGCCTGCTCTTGGGTGAGCCTGGGCTTGACTCGGTGCTTGAACCTCCCTATGAATCATGGTCTGTTTCTCATTACTCTCCACATGTGGCCACGGCAGGGCTTTGTTCAGTGATTTCTGGCCATTTTGTCTGGACGGAGACTGCGTTGTTTTATGTTGCCCGGATTCTAGAGAATGAAAGCTGTCGCTGCCACCACCCAAGGAAGAACAATCTTGGAAATGAGAGGTTCTATTGAATGATTTCCCGGGTGACCTATTCCAGAATAAAAGGAAGTGAATCCAAGTGTGTCCCTGGGCCTGACTACTGTACTTAACTCACCCAGGAATCAAACGAGAGAGAGAACAAAAGCCACTCATGTGTTAGGAAAGGAGAAGGCTCCGGCAGAAGAATACATTAAAGCTAATTCTCTTGTCCACTCTGTATCCTCAGAAGGGGGCAGCCCATTCATCTCATCAGCACCTATGACTCTCTGCACTGCTACTAAATAAAATGGAGCAACCGTTTTGACTGACCATGGAGTGTGTGCAAAAAACAAAAACAAAAACAAGAACACTTTAACTTCATGTTAAAAAAATGCAAATTCCTTGGATTCATAATATTTGTTTCCCATTGTGTGGTCAGAATAAGTAGGCCAAGTGGAAAATAACCAGAAAAAAGAGTGTGTGTCCATATTGTTTTCAAATATATATTTATCTCTGTCTCTGTCTCTCTGTCTCTGTCTCTGTCTCTCTCTCTCTCTCTCTATATATATATAATATCTATGTGTATACATATATTTCTTGTGTATGTTTATATGTATATCAATAAATACATACATGCATACACATATACACACATACATAGATTTGTCTCTCACAGAGAGCCCAAATTACAAAATTTTACTTGGGGGCAGCAGCACGAGCAATCTCTCTCCATAGAGAAGGGGGACCAGGAAAGGCAGCTAGGAAGAGATACTTTGACAATGATGTTGATTTGCCTCATGGGATAAGGGAGGGATGGGGAAGGGAAGAGGAGGAGCCCATGGGAGATCCCTAATCTAGTAGTTCCCCATTTTGACTAATCATTTTTGTTAATTAGGTGCTAATCTCTGTTGTTTCTATGCTTTTGAGGGATTAAACTCATTGCCCACATCCTCTAAATGGACAGCCCTGGGGCTAAGCCTTGTCTTCCCTATCCTAGTTAAGGCTTTGCCCCCATAGCATCTAGGACAGTACCTTGAAACTAATAGTCTTAATATATATTGGTGGAATGAGTGGTGTGTGATTATCCACTTGTTGGATTATATCACCACCCCTAGGTCTGGCCCTACTTTGTTCTTGTCATCTGAAAGACTGGAAAGGCACCAGAAAACCAAAGAGGGGGCCATTCTTTACTAACATTTAATCTTGCCTAAATTTAAATGTAAAAGAGTGGCGAGTGTTGCGCATTCAAAGTCTTTGGGGCTCAAACCCAATCCCAGAAACCAATAATGCATTGCCAACCGGATTAGTACAACAAATAACACACGTTTGAAGAGGAATTCCAATCCAACAGCCCAAATGAGTGGTTCAAGATCAATCCAAGTGATTTCATAAGCTATTTAACATAATCCTTTCATGTTCTTTTTTTGAAGGGGGAATATACCAAACATGAAGGCACATACAATCTAACAACCATGGCAGCATTTCCCAGGACTCAATGAAAAGATGAATCTAAATAAGCCCAACTCCCAGATTCTATGGGCTGTTTGACACTTTCAACCCAGACTCAACAACTCTACGAAACCCTCTTCTCTCGTAATAACTTAGCCAAAGCTTTCCAGAACACCGAAACTAAAACACGTTTCGCAAGGGAAAGTTTTCCCAAGGGAAAGTTTTCCCAAAGGCCCCTCATTTTCATATAGGAAATCAATCTGCATCAGTGAAGATATCATTCAAATCAGAAGACACAATGTGGTTAGGAGGTAATTTAGTTTTCTGCTGAAGCAATTTGAAACTTGTTCTGATTTGTGATTTTCATTTTGTTTGTTAATGAAAAAAATTAATGAGCAATGTTACTGGAAATACAACTCATCAAAGCATCGGCATTATTAAATATGTTTGCAATATACTGTACATGATGTTGATTGCACAGCCAGAGCCAGAGCTCAATCTGGAGCCAGAGCAATGGAGCCTCGGCCACAGAATGGGAATCGGTCCACTCCAGCGTTCCATAAACCAGACAACTTGGGGAAGGGGCTCTCTAGCACATACCTTTGCATTGATTTGTGTTTTTGTCAAGAATTGCCTTTGTGGAAACAATTTTTCCATACCTATGGGAGGAAAAAAAAAGGACATGTCATTACATCTTTCCTTTATATGCCACAGAATAAATTCAATGCAGATGCTTCCAATATTTTGTTCAGACCATCAACACGTGCAGAGACAACAAACAACCCAGGAAACAACCAAGGCGCTAAGCTGCCGCACCTGGATGACCTCTTTCAACTAGTTTTCACAGCTTAAGAATGTACTTCATAAAGTTTGTCCTGGGCTGGGCCTTTAAAAAGTCAACATGCCAGGTCTTTTGAGGGAAAGGGGATGGTTGGGTCTAGTTGCATAGCCTTGGGAGCAAAGTAAAGGGATAGCATGGCTGCTTTTTCCTACAAACAGAAAGCTACTTATCTGAGTTTGTTTTTCTTCCAAGTTCATCTGTAAACACTAGCACAAATAAGGCAGACAAGTATGGAAAAATTTTTAAATCAAAATAAAATGACCACATAGAGATAATGCCCAGAAACTACCATTGTTACTAAGAATAGCCATAGTTACAACAACAGTTAATATGTTTAATACATTCATGTTAATATTTTGGGCTCTAAAACCTTCAGATCTTTGGGGTTTGGTTTGACCTCTGGAATTTTCAAATCTATGAGTGTAGTAGACTACAAGTTTATGGCAGTCAAGAAAACCTGTATCCAGAAATAAATAAATGATAATCCTGTTATACTCTTCCCCAGTCAGACCCCATCAGGAGCCTGGTGTTTAGTTCTGGGCATTTGGTTTTCGGAAAGACGTTGATAAGCTAGGAGTCTGTCTAGTGGAAGTCAGCCAGGATGGGCAAGTACCTTGAGCTCAGGGCAGATGAAGTTGAGTGAAAAGGACTGAGGATGCTCAGCTTAACACTATGAGGTAGAATTCTGTTTGGTCCCAGAAACCAGAACTGGGCACAAATGGGTGTACGTTGAAAAGAAGCAGATTTAAGCTTGGGGTCAGAAACAAACAAACAAACAAACTAAAAACTTGCCAATAGTTAGGGTTGCCCTAAAATAGAACGAACCTCCTTAGGAAAGAGTGGATTCCTCTTGCTTGAGGTAGGGAAGCAAGGGGGTCGGTTTCTACGACACTGGAGAAGAGCTCTTTTATCTAGTATAACTTGGATTAGATGGTCTGTGTTGCCCCTTCTAACTATGGGCTCCTGTGGACCTACGATCTTAAACTTGCCTAAGAGGCATAAGAGCGTATTACAGCTCTCAGAAGCATCCGTGCCTTCATCGGCCACATTCTTCCAGCACCAAAGCTGCTTGTCTATATTAAGTTCAGAGGCTCGGTTAAGCTTTTCAGACCACTTGGGTAGCATTACTAAGCCACTGATTCTAAATCCAATGTACTTCTTTATTATGAGAGGACATAATCTGTTCAGCAGGAACACATAGGGAAATAAATTCCCTCCTTGGCCTCCTCCCCCAGATTTTCCAAAGGAAACTTGGCGAAGCACCTTTCTGAAATGAATGGAATCCCTCACCAGGAAAATGTCGCAACCTTATAGGCGGTAACTCTGCCTGGAGATTCATCGCTGCAGATGTTTTGACCTCATTATGAGACTCTCTATGACTATCAACCATAGGAGAGAGGAAAGAAGGGATGCCCTAAGAATGAACTTGCTCTGCTCATGGAGGCTATATAGTAAGTCAGAATCGTGATGGATTCAGAGACAGAGGCCCCAAGGCCTCTCTGCCTTTTACTTTCTGTTTGATGTGGACTGAGGCAATCCACCACTGTAGGCTTCAGTTTTCCTGTCTGTAATATTATAACATTGGACAAGATAACTTTCGTTTTGAACTCATATGTCTATAATGCCCTTATATTTCTTCTCCCCAAGTTTGTGGTGACCCCACACTCAGTCAATCAATTGGTAAGCATTTAGTGAGCACCCGCTACATGCTAAGCACTGAGGATATAAAACAAGGGAAAAGATAGTCACTGTGCTTGAGGACCTTACATTCCCTCCATCACCAGAGATGTAAGCCTTTAGTCACCAGATAAAGCGAATACTATATAGAAGACCTGATTCTGGGACCTCTTCTCTGCATGTGGCTCTTTTTTTTAACATCCATCTACTGCTGGACTTTTAGCCATTTCATTGCTCAGTAGCCAGCCAGAGGAAGGGCAAGACATAGGATAAGTTCAAGTTCACATAATTTGGCTTTATAACTCGTACTGTTTACAATCCAGTGATAAAGCTAGTGTGGGAGAGGGAGTTGAAGACATTACCTAAATTGATCACTTAAGATGATATTTGAATTTCCTGGATTTCACAATCTAGATATATCCCTCATCAGCTCCAAGGATCTGGAGGTAGAAAGTAAGCAACCTAGAGAACATCTAGGCCAGAGTTTCTAGATCTTTTTTTGGTGTTCTGGATTCCTTTGGGAAGTATGATAAAGTTTATAGACTCCTCATAATAATATTTTAAATGCATAAAATAAAATGCATAAGATTACAAAGAAAACATTTATATTGAAATATAATTTTAAAAAAATCAAGATCACAGACCCAAAGCTAAGAATCCTTTCATTATCTCAAAGTGCTTAATAAATGCTTATTCTCTCCCCTCCCCCACCCCAATTCCTCTTCCCTTTCTCTACCAAACCCTTTAATTTTATAGATGAGGTATTAGAGGCCTTGGGTCGGAATACTGATTCTGCTCCTCACACCCTGCTATAACCTTGGGTCAGTCCCCAGGCCTCGGTTTTCTTATCTATAAAATGAGGGCTATGACTAGATGATATCTCAGATCCTGTCCAGTTCAAATTCCACAATTCCATGATGCACAGACTGACCTGACTAAGATCCCACATGTAGTCAAGGTTTGAAACCAAACTGTTGCCAAGAATGGTTGGCCACAAATCCAAGAAAATGTACTCTCGTCCCCAAGATTTCTCTAACAACAAAATGAGTCAGCCGGCGTATTCATCAGAGCCAAGATTGAGAGTTGGAAAGGACCTCTGAGGCCAGCTGGCCAACCCCCTCATCTTCCAAATGACACTCAGAGGAGTCAAGTGACACCTTAAGGTCACGCAGGTGAACCCGGGTCCCCTGACTCCAAATCCAGTTCTTTAAGCACTGCACAATGAAGCAGTCAGGAATGTTTGCTTGGCTCCTTGCAGAGCGCTCACTATAAGCAGAACGGAAGTTTGACACATGACACTCGATTTTCAGTTACTTACAGCCTTTCCATTCAACCGGTACAAATGGCTAATCTGCCTTGGGTAAGGGGACAAGTCTACATTTGCAAAGCCACATGTATCTCGAAGAGGGTGTCTGGGAAGGCAGGGAACTCTCCCTCTGAAGCAGTTTTTCTTGCCTTAGGGCACCAACAGCATGACACGTTACATGGAAGGTAAAAATTCAAGAGAAAAAATAAAAATAAAAATTATGCCTCTGTCCTAACAAGCAGATGCACTTATAATAAGATCCTCCAGAACTGCTTAAGAAATACTGTACACCTTTAGATACAATGAACTGGATTATAGGTACTGTCTTTAAAAAAATTAGGAACCTCACATTTTTTATTGAATAACTCTATACTTCAAAAAAATTGTGATTTAGTTATTGTGGGTAACTCCATCTGCTGACACAGATAACAGCCCCTCTACAACTTAATGGAGGGTCCTTGATAATTGATGGCGCTAAAAAATACAGCACTCTTTGGACAATCTGGAAATGAGTCTTTCTGTTTTGAGCTAGGCTTTTCTCTGGGCAGCGGACATATAGTCAGTCACCAGGCCTGTACTTGCAAGAGTTTGCTGGTAACTCTGCCTACCTTGGGTCTCTCTCTCCACCCCAGTCCATCTTCTGTTCAGCTTTCAAAGTGATATCCTAAAGCTTGGGTCTGACTGTGTTAGACCCCTCTCCCCTGCCTCAGTGAAACAAACTAGCCCCCTAGTGACTCCAGAATCAAATGTAAAATGTGCTATTTGACTTTTAAAGCCCTTTATCACTTGGACCCTTGCTAACATTTCAGGGTTCTCACACCTTACTCATTCCCACATACTTTGTGACTGGGAGATGCTGGCCACCCTACTGTTCCTTACATGTAGCCCTCCATCTCTCCACTCTGAACATTTTCACCAGCTGTCTCCCATGCCTACAGCTCTCTTCTTCCTCCTCAGCGTCAGTGGCTTTCTTCAAGTTTCAGCTAACTTTTTCAGTTCTCCTTAATCTTAGTGCTTTCCCTCTGAGATGATTCCTAATGTCTATATCTACTATTATCTATATTATTTATGGATTTATAGTGTGCAGGTTACACGCAAAATAAAAATTCAAGAGTGAAAACAAAAATAGAAATATGCCTACTCACATCAATTAGATAGGAATATAGAAAGAAAGACCTAGAGATATGACTTGGTCATGTATAGCTGTCTCCATCTTGTCTCTTCCATTAGAATGTGAGCTCCTTGAGAACAGGCCTTAGTTTTGCCTTTCTTCATATCCGTAGGTCTTAGCATAGTGTTTAGTACATGGTAAAAGCATAACTAATTCTTGTTGATTGACTAGTGTAGTTTCATTTGGAGAAGCCTTGGTTTGTCATGTTTCAGCCTACTTACACATCTACCTTGAACATGAATGCAGGGCTAAGGAAAAGGCCTGTGATTTTGTTGTTGTTGTGACTTGCATATGAATTGGATTTGAGCGACACAGAGCAGCCCAGAGTAGTCAGCCTCATTCTTTCCTCCAGTCGTCAAAGTCCAGCGGCAAGATGAAGGTCACAACATCTGGGGGTGGCCCAGGATATATCTTTCTAAATTAAGGTCTTTCTCAGGTCTCAGTCTGTGTGAAGCCACACTCATTCAATGGCTAAGAGCTCAGTAAAAATTGAGACCAAAGATGGCCCAAGTTACCATTCCAAAGACAGAAGAGGGAGGGGAAGACCCTCAGAATTTCTGGCCAGAACAGAAAACAATTGCTATGTACAAGCCTGTGATTTTACTGGCATAGGAGAAGGGGGATGAATTAATACTTATATGTTGTCGATCAGTCATTTTTCAAT